TACAGAAAAGCTAGACAAGAAACACTAAAATGGCAACTTGCTAGACAGGAAACGCTAAAATGGCATACTAGAGTCTATTCAAGTAGAGTAAAATCAATGCATTGACAATACTTTCCTAATATGAATACAAATGCTCCCAATTGGCAACTACCATGTGGGATGGATGGCATTTATCAATCTACCAGTCATGTTTTGCCTACTTTCTAGTTTTCTCTTCCTCAAGGCCCAAACAAAACAAAACACATCCTCTATATAATGCCACTGCAACCAAGAACTTGACAATCTGGATTGATGAGAATCCTAATTAGCTCTTTAACTGTATGCAAATACTATCAAGTCAAATATGCTCTATACCAAAGTTGGTTGACTTGTTTCTATATTCTGCCATATTTCCATGAAAAAGATCAAATCTTTGTAATTGAGTATTTATAAGCCGGCAGGATTTTGGCACTTAACACCAAACCACAAAGATTAAGCACACTTTAATTAATCATCAAGATTTCCTTTATCTACCCCGGCCCATGAAAATCAATCAATTTCAGTGATGGAGCTGAACACCAGAGAAGAATTACAATTTAGAGAAGTACGTGCAGAGGATTGAACCAAAGAAAAGGAAATCAAATTTTTGTGCAGCTTTAAAAAATAGAGTATGAATCAAATTTTCAGCAATCTAACATTAATCTATCATAATATATACAATCTAATTCTATCTAAAACACATAATAAACATTTAAATTTTTTTTTAAAATAATTATCTTTTTCATTAGTTTCAACAGAAGATTCTATTTACCCAAAAAACATTTATATAATTGAAAACATGATTCACATACATAAGTTTAGACATGCAAAGCACATGGTAAGAAACTCCATAGTAAAAGATTGAGTTTGAAGGATAAATACTGTAAGCATTTTAGAACCATGTAACTTTAAAAATAATTGCAGAAGAATCATATGACTACATGAGCTTCCTAACCTCCCGGCACAAAAGTAAATTAAGCGAGGCACAGTAAGCTTTTCCTAGTGAGCCAAGCAAGCCTACTGAACTTTCCAACTCATTATTTCTTAATGCGAATATATTCATTAAACATTCAACAAAAATTGTAACTGTAATCATAATAATGATGCATTTCATAAGGAACTCTATTCAGCAGAGCCCAAGCTTGAACATATCAGTATACAAAATAAAAAAATATCAACAGGGAAGAAAGAGAGGTTGAACAAGCTAAGATAAACCAAAGCAAGTGTACAAGTGTACAAGTGTATAAGGATTGTAATACTCCATATCATCTATCCAAAAAGTGACTCCGGAATGTATATGAATAGAATAAATAACCAAATGGGAGGAAATACCTGCTCAATGAGATCTAAACATGCTTGGTTGTCTTGAAATTCAACTTTTCTCCAGTCAATTCTATCCAACTCATATTCCTGTAATCAAACCAACAAGTAATGATACCATTATAATGTGTTCATTTTAAAAAAGATCCAGTAAACTTATGGTAAAAAAGCTCCAGTTTGTGAATGAAGAAAACTATACTAATATCATATCAAAAAATAATAATAAACCCAGACTTAAAATTGGAATAAATTCCTAGATCATACTTCTAGGTGAATCCAACAATCACACTACAACTTAGCGTGTAAAAGTTAATGTTTATTGCATATGTCCAGCTTCACCTAACAGCTTTTGTTCTGTTTACAGACATTAATAGAGGCATCAAAAGATGAAAAAGAACTAGCAATGCAAAACCATAAATGTCTAGAATATTTATGGATCTACCAGTATGTTGCTTTCCCATTGCAAGCGATGTATTTATCCTATCTACAACCCAGTCAAACAAACTTGCATATACAAATTTCGCCAATGCATCTCTTGTATCAATTGCCTAAATGAAGTTAACACACATTATGTTATGGTGAATAAGATCATAATAAATTAGTTCCACTCATATCATCGTAGATATAGATGCACTTCTCAACATTCATGTTATTTGATGGTGCAACTGTCTAAGAAATGTAATTTAGTAAAATTAATCAGACAACAACTTAACATACCTGCTTGTAACCAGCTACCTCGCACAGCCTCAACATAACCACAATGTGTTGTAGAAACCTGCTTTATTCTCAATAATTTCAAATGATCCATATAGATTAACCATTCTATATCGAGATGAGTTCAATCCTTGCCTCTAAATGCCAGGACCTAAGAAGCATGAACCCTAAAACTAAAGCAGATAGAATAGCTTGAATACATTTCCCTATATGCAAAAACAGATGGAATTTGAACTTACCAACTTACCACAATATACGAAATACACAGTAGGTTCCATTCCAGTATAGACTCACTTAGCAGCCTAGCTCCTCTCTCATAAACTAACCTATAATCCACAACTAACCTAGGGTTTAAAAACATTTATAGCTTTCAAATTTGGAAATTCAACGATACAATTCAGAAATTAGGGATTTGGGTAAAAAAAATTGAGGACAAACCCGTCGGAGCTTAACGGCGGGAGAGGAGGCCGGGAAGAGGCATGCCGGCGGTAGAGGAGGCCGGGAAGTGGCGACAGCAGCAGAGGAGGGAAGAGGTGACGCCGGAGGAGATTGGAGCGACGGCGGTGGCTGGCCGGGGAGGGAGAAACGACGTCGGCTGGCCAGGAGGGAAGATGCGATGTTGCTTGGTTGGTTCGTCGGCGTGCGAGGCAGAGGTTTACGCAGAGGCCAGGGAGGGAGAAATGCTGAAGTTTTTTAAATTTTCACTAAGTGTGAGCTGTGTACTGGGAGGGAACAAAAATTTTTGTTTGAGAGGGAAATAAAAAAAAAATTCGCTAAGTGTACTGTGAGGTTTTTTTTATTTATTTAGTTTTTTTTTTTGGAGGAAACATATACTATATACTATGTACTAATATAATTAGGAAAATAACGAAATTTTATTTTAATTTTATAATAAACTTTCGTTTTTTTTTCAAATTAAATAAGTATATTCATGGTTTTATAGGGACCGGGTCCACCTAAACGGGGTATATAAGTATAGAACGGGGTAAGAAAATATTAACTTTATAATTTTATTATCCGGGGCGCTAGACCCAAAATAGTACCGGGTATATAGGTACAGAACGCGAGGTAAGAAAATAGTAACTTTATTACTCGGGGTGTACCGCGTATATTGGTGCAGAACGGGAAGTAAGAAAATAATAGTTTTATTACCTTAGATGTTGCACTTAAATACATAAGTGTTGGTGTCACTTGGTGGGTTTAGCTTAGTTTGTTATGTTAGATTGTGTTAGAAGTATTGGGTTCTATTCTTCTTAGAGGCATCCTTAACTTATTTTATAAAATCGTTGTCTTGGTTTTCACAGACAACATAGAAGCAACCCAGTTATATATCAGTTGTTGCACTTTGACACATAAGAGTTTGTGTTGCTTAGTTGGTTAAACTTTAATCATTATGTTTGAGGTTAAAGGTTTGACTCTTGTTGTTAACATCCTTGTTTTTATTTTATAAAATAATCAAAGACAACGGTTTTTTATAACCGTTGTCTTTGTAGTGTTGTGTATTCTTTTTTTTTTTTGACGATTAGTGTTGTGTATTCAAATACGCTTAAAGACAACATACCAAAGACAACGGTTAAATAAAGCCGTTGTCTTAAACAAATAAAGAACGCGCAACGACAACGGTTATATAAAACCGTTGTCGTTGTAGTGTTGTGTATTCAAGTGCTATTAAAGACAACACATAAATGACAACGGTTAAATAAAACTGTTGTCTTTTATAAAATAATAATGCGCAAAGACAACGGTTTTAAGCAACCGTTGTCTTTGTAGTGTTGTGTATTCTAGTGCGCTTAAAGACAACACACCAACGACAACGGTTAAATAAAACCGTTGTCTTTTTTTTTTTTAAAAGAGTGCACAAAGACAACGGTTTTAAACAACCGTTGTCTTTCTAGTGTTGTGTATTCTAGTGCGCTTAAAGACAACACGCCAACGACAACGGTTAAAAAAACCGTTGTCTTTAAAAAAAAAAAAACGCACATAGACAACGGTTTTAAAAAACTGTTGTCGTTGTGGTGTTGTCTTTTTACAAAATGCACAAAGACAACACACTTATAACAACGGTTAAGTAAAAACCGTTGTCTTTGACAAAAGTGTTGCATCAAAGACAACGGTTTTGGACCAAACTGTTGTCTTTTATACAAAAGACAACACTTTTCTTAAAAACTGTTGTCTTTCTAGTGTTGTCTATGTGCATTTTTCTTGTAGTGTCTCAATTTGTGAGAGCCACAATAATACTGTTTGACCACAAGGTCTTAACATCAAGTATACTATTTGTTACTTACCGAACTCGAAAGATTGCATTGTTACACTGAGTCTTGAAAGAAATCATATCATCACTTTTATTTTCGTTATAGCATTAGTATATTTTCGTGCTATATGCAATACTTCTATTAATAGTTTGTAGCTAAATTTGTTGCAACACTTGCAGTGCATGATTGTACTATTCCGATTTAAAAATTGTCACAAAACGTGTTACAACATCCCACTCAAATTTCTTAGAGGAATATAATAATAACTCTAATAATTGGTTTGGTACGGTAGGCCAAACTTTTTGAACTTTCTTAACAACTTAATGGAGAAAAAAAATATTATTATCATGTTTAGTGTGTGCTTTTAACTTGATAAAATATGGGTTAATGTTACACAGCAGGGTCTGTTCTTATATTTTTGTGGTCCTGTGCGGGTGAATATATAATATATATAAAAAAAAATTATTCGTGCATCGCACATGCACTGCACGGATAATTGGACAATTATTTGCTCGAATTCAAGCAAGGATAACATCAAAAAACATAATTGATACAATCAATTTCATCAATTTCACTATATAATATTCGTTGTTATAATTTATACAAGGCTGGTGAGAAACCACATTGAGCTTGTCTCGTAGTGCCACGAACCGTGTCCCCAGAAGTGGTTTGGTGAGGATGTCCGCAAGCTGATCTTTAGTAAACAAAGTTAACCACAAACTCGCCCGATGCTACTTTATCACGTACGAAGTGATAGTCAATCTCAACATGCTTCGTTCTGGCGTGAAAAACCGGATTAGCACACAGGTATGTTGCCCCTAAATTATCACACCACAAACTTGACGGCTGACCCGTATGTAGACCCAGCTCACGGAGAAGAGAGACAACCCACGTCACCTCAGATGCCACATCTGCTAAGGCTTTGTACTCTGCTTCTGTAGACGACCGAGCCACAGTCCGTTGCTTTTGGGAAAGCCAGGAGACGAGATTGGACCCGAGAAAGACTGCATACCCACTGGTGCTCTTCCTATCAACCGGACAGCCAGCCCAATCGGAGTCGGAATATGCCTGAATTGAGGTAGAAGTGGAAGCCGACAATCGGAGCCCGTAATCCACAGTGCCTTTGACGTATCTTAACACGCGTTTGACCATGCCCCAGTGATCAACGGTCGGTGAGTGCATGAATTGACATAAGCGGTTGACAGCATAAGATAAGTCTGGACGAGTGATGGTGAGATACTGCAGAGCACCAACTATACGACGGTACTGAGTAGGATTATCAAACAGCTCATCAGACGGGGTTACTGCTTGCATAGTGGAAGCTGGAGTTGCTAGAGGTTTGCAATCTGTCATTCCTGCCCTGTTCAACAAATCATTCATATAACGCCGTTGGGACAAGATCATTCCTGCACTTGTGTGTAACGTCCCAATGCCTAAGAAGAAGCCCGGTTTGCCGAGGTCCCTGATATTAAAAGCTGTAGCCAGACGGTTTAGTAAGGTGTTAACCAATGAAGGATTACTGCCCATCATGATGATGTCGTCTACATAGACCAGGAGGTAGACGCGAGAGCCATCCAAGACGTAGTAAAATAGAGAAACATCTGTGTTTGATGCACAGAACCCTGTAGAGAGTAAAAAGTCATGTAGCCGTTTGAACCAGGCCCGTGGTGCCTGCTTCAGACCGTACAGAGACCGCTGGAGCAAACAGACGTGATTTGGGTGTGCTGGATCTTCATACCCAGGTGGTTACTTCATGTAGACTATTTCAGCTAACTGCCCATTCAGGAAGGCATTGTGAACGTCTAGTTGGCGTAGGGTCCAGCTATGGGTGATAGCCAACGATAGCAACATGCGTACCGTGGTTGGCTTAACCACCGGGCTGAAAGTGTCGAAGAAGTCTCGCCGGCTACCTGATTGAAACCCTTAGCAACAAGGCGTGCCTTGTGCCGCTCAACTGCGCCATCAGCTGTGCGTTTCGTGCGAAACACCCACTTACACCCAATTATATTCATGTCCGGTGCAAGTGGAACAAGCCGCCAGGTGTTGTTATGGAGGAGAGCGTTGAACTCTTGGTCCATAGCATCTCGCCAGTGTGGGTGGCCCACAGCTTGCGAGTAACACGTTGGGTCCGCTGTTACTGTTACTAAGGCTTGAAACTCCTCATGAGTGCCGTGAGTCATGTGACGAAGCCGCATGTTGTGGTCCCTTTCCTGAGGTTGAGTCCTTCCTCGGCCTCGACCCCGAGCCCGAGCCCGACCTCGCCCTCGAGTTGCTAGTGTAGCAGGCTCAATGGCTAAGAGCGGGGTTTCCTGAGCTAACGGTACAGGGCTAGAGTCATGTGGCTCAACAGTAGGAACAGGTGCAGATGTGTTAGCGGGTCATATATATCCATAGATGTGGCTGATAGAGACATAGAGTTGCATTATATGCTTCATATTTCTGGTATTATTTATTTTAAAATTAAAACCCAATTAAAGTATGGGGGAATATTCCACTTCTACTTATTTCTTTGATTTTTTTCCTACTTCAATCATTAATTCATTATTCATTTGCATGTGTTTGCCGCATATATACATTCATAATTGATGACCTTCGGCGAAAACTCGACTCAAGACATCAAATATACCAACCAAATTATATTCTGTCTGTGGTATATCTTGATTCTTTAAATTAAACTATCTTTAATTTGTTACTTTAGATGATTCAAAAAACAAAAAACAAAAAACAAAAAAAAACAAAAAAAAAAAACAAAAAAAACAAAAAGTAAAGATTAAATTCAATGAACGTCAACCAACCAAAAATGAGCTTAGCCAGTGGTAGAAAATACTACATAGACTCCCACTTTTTATTTTTAATTTTTAGATTTAGACACTTTTTTTAAGATTCAAATGATTAAAATAGCGTATAAATATTTATTACATCATGAAGTAAAAATAGTGGAGTAAAATTTAAGTGTTGTACATTGTACATATAGAACTCTCGAGGGGCACAGTAAATTTAAGTGCGTTCTGGCCTGGCGCCAGTCGGCGAAAACGACCTAATCTATTTCGGGTGCTCCCCTACGCTTGGATCCAAAAAACGGTTATACCAACCCAACTTTATTCTATTGGTATTTTGATTCCTTAAGTTAAAGCATTTTTGTCATTTTTTTAGTACAAAAATTTAAAAAAAGAAAAGGAAAAATTTGATGAAAATTCTGTACGTGGGTCAAACAAGAAGTTGCTAATAATAAGAGGCAAATTTATAGCTTGCACCACGGCACGCGTTGCATTGTGAGCCTAGATGCAAAACGACATCGTTTCATTTTTTTAAAAAAAAATTCGCTACCCAGTGTTTGACAGTTAATTTTCCTTTAAAAAAAATATCATGTTAAAAAATGTACATAATGTTATACTAGAATACACATAATTGTATACATGAGTGTACATAATTATATAACAAAATACACACACTCTTTTTTGAAAGATAATACACATAATCTAACATAATATATAATAAACATAAACTTTTAACATAATACCACTATTAAAAATTATGAAATTTCCGACCACCTGAAAATGATCTTAAATCAAGTAAAAAGCCTTGTTCCGACCACTTTTGGTATCCAGAAAAACCTTTGTTGCTATTTCCGACCACTTTTTGGTATCAACTTGATTTAAGATCACTTTCAGGTGGTTGGAAATTCCATAATTTCTAGTAGTGTACACATCAACTCTTAACATAATACACAAAAATTTCTTTATTCGAATGTACATAATTGTATAAAAAAAATGTGTATAATTGTATAAACAAATATACATAATCATGTCAACTTCCTACCGCGCCTCCCAAAACGACGTTATTTTGGGAGGCGCGGGGCGCACAGTGCACTGTGCACTGTGGTGCAGGGTATAATGATTGATAATAAGAGAATACTTCATCTATTCTATCTTCTACACTATATTTATTCCCTATTGAGATGCCCTTTTTTTTTATTGATTTGAACAATAAAATGGACCATTGTTTTTATTCATTCACTTTTCTTTATTCGATAAAACTTATACACATGAAGAGACTTATATTCCATGGAAGTACATATATCATTTTCTTAATAATAATTAGCAATATAATAGAGGTTGTCGATGACCATGTGGTCTAGAACCAATTCAATGATTTTCTATGCATTTTTTTCAGTTAATTTATCCGGTCAACAACCTTGATCTCGAGAGTACTATTAAACAACAAGTCTCCTAGCACCCTTTTTCCTCGCCCATATCAAACCTTTTAGCAATAAATTATGACTAAATTTAAATTAGACGTCGGAGTGACGGCCGACGCCGACGGTGAGCTCCGGCTGGGACATTTGGGGTAGTAGTTCATGCTGATCCTCTTTGAACCCATTAACAGCGATTCTTTGGTTCCGCTCCTCCGATCCGCTGGCTGAATGCATGTACTGTTTGGGAAGAGACTGGAGGCCCATGTCGGCAAGACCCTTTTGGTGGACAACAAAATCGGTGATGTTGGAGAGAACAGAAGACAACATTGCAGGCATATTTGCAGTGAAGATCAAAAGATATACTTTACTGAAGAAGTAAGAACTAACTGTTTTTATTCACTGAAGCAATTCGTTGATGGTATCCCTTTTTCCGGCCTCTAATTTATAGGAATCGAAGTTGGGTTGGATTCTTAAATTGATAAAAGTTTTGGGGCCAAATTATAATTTCTTCACTTTAAGTAGTTGTGATTGAAGGCTAGGGCACTATTCAGTAGGCATAGTTGGTCGTCAGACGAGTGACGACCAGGCCACCTCCTATTAAAAATCAACAATGGTGTATTAACATTAAAATACACAAAGTACTTTCATTTTCCACACGAGTTACATCCTCTTCAATTTTGTAGTTTCTCATGAAAGTGCTAATTCCAATGGAATTTTTTTAGTGTAACTAAAGTTTTAACCATGGATGATGGAGCACAGTAACTAATCTTTAGAGAATTGTAGAGATTTCTTATTAAGTGGAATAGCTGGATTGCACTGGAATTTTAGCTCATTATGAAATACATACATATTGATAGTACTAATACACAGATCAATGAGTAAACCTATTACTAAGCTCGATCATATGGCGATCGGGAAGCTCTTCTAGGTCTCCTCTCTCTCTGTCCAAAAGTCCTTATCGTTATAGCGAGTGTTACTATTTATAGGTGAGAAAAGGGAACACAACCCGGGCCACCGGCATGTCGGCCACGTTGTACATACGTGTCCTCAATTAGGAACATCCTCTTTGGCACCCGCTTTCACTGACACGTGGCAAGACACAAAACAAGTACCATACAAACCAATAAGGGCAACCAAACGGTCGTCCGGTCGGTCGGGCAAATAAAGGCGGTCGGAGGCGTAAACTGGAGGGTCAAGAACAAAAGTTCATGAATTGAGCGATCGGTAACCGAGCCAATCTGGTCGGGCGTATTAACTATCAAGAGCCCCCCCAGTCTGGATCAATGGCAAAGGTACGAGAAAAGTGGGTCGGGCTGAAGAACGGTGATTCTCATCACCCCTTACGAGCTGAGCATTTTCCCACCAGTTGGACTCCATAGACACGCGTCGCACGCACACAATCTCGAGATTCGGAACGGTTCTCTCGAAGACGCGAAGCGTTTTCCCGCCACAAATACTACTACAAATAGGACCTCCAATGCAATCACTTTCACGCAGTAGAAATCAGTTGGACGTTCCCGAGCAATTTTTACTTCCGCCGCGCAATCGCTTTCAACAAGTTCAAGTGTCATCAATCCGTAAGCTCACTTTTGCGTATTTTTCCCTTACGCTTCCCTTTATAGGTTGATTCGTAAACCCAACTTATCTCAAACCCCGGGTGTACTTAACCCGAGCCTTCCCTCTGAATCCTCCTCGTGTATGAAGGAAAGATGTCTGGCTCAGATAGCCAAAACGTCTCAGGAGTTGATTACGATAACGAGGTAGAGACTGCTTCCGATGAGACGATGGTCGAGGAATCTTCCGAAGCAACTGTCGAAATCGTTCCATCAATGCCAGCATACACTGAAGCCGAAACGTCCGGATACTTTTTCCTACTCAAAATGATTTAAGTTGGGTGTTGCTATTTGCTCCCCCCTTTGACTAAAATGGGGTAAAAAGTACATTGAAAATATAAAAAGTTAAAAAGTTATAATAAATATATAGGTGGTGCAAATAGCCTAATGAGTGGTCAAAATGCTATTTGCACCACCTTAATTAAATCACATTTATTATGTTTAAATAATAATTAATTAATTCAAAATTAAAAAAAAAAAAAAAAAAAAAAGATTAATGCCGCCTTCTCCGGTGCTTCTCCGATGAGAAGGCGACCCCTGGGTTGCCTTCTCACCGGAGAAGGTAACTGGGTTGCCTTCTCCCGTGAGAAGGCATGTCTATAGCCTTCTCACTGGAGAAGGCATGGTTTCCTTCGTTTTTTTTTTTTTTTTTTTAAACAACCCACTGGGTTGCCTTCTCTGGTGAAAAGGCAGTCCGGAGAAGGTGAAGGGATGGAGAAGGTTTGTTTTTTTTTTTTTTTTTTTTTTTTTTTTTTTTTTTTTAATTTAAAAAAAAATGAAAAATAAATAATAATCCTTGACCACATTTAATGCTAGCATTTACACCACCTATAAAGCTATTTGACCTACTAAATAGGTGGTGCAAATAGCAAAATAGGTGGTGTAAATAGAATTTTCCTTTAAGTTTGAGTCCAACTAACTGGGTTGGAGCTGTCCCCCATGTAGTAATCAACTTTTTGTAAATATTATTGGTGAGACTAATATATACATAATGGGAAAAAAAGCATGCATATGTTAAATAAATAAATAAATATATATATATATATATATATATATATATATATATATATATATATATATATATATATATATATATATATATATTTATTTATTTATTTATTTATTTATTTATTTATTTATTTATTCCACTTTATGCCATACCATACAATCTTCTGCAAACAGAAGCAAAAAGATACTATACGCATTGCTTATATCTTTGCAAATTCAATTGTCTCCTTCCCATCGTGAGCCTTCCCGAAGAAATGCCTCAAGTAATCAGAATACACAAGCTCCTTGTAAAGCGGCTTCTCCCCGCCGGCCAGCACCTCCGGCAGCGGCCCCACGCGGCATTCCGGGTCGGGGGTGACGAAGATCGGCACCGAGATTCTGTCGCTGCTGCCGTTGGCGCTCACCCGGTGCTCCGCGCTCTTGTACCGCCCGTTGCTCAGGATCTGGAGCGCGTCGCCGATGTTGATGACCAGAGCGCCGTCGACGGGAGGGACGTGGACCCAGGTCTCGGAGTTGAGCTTCCGGACGTGGAGGCCGCCGATGTGGTCCTGGAGAAGCACGGTTATGGTGGAGATGTCGGAGTGGCGGCCCACGCCGACGGCCAGCTCCGGGTTGGGGCATTTGGGGTAGTAGTTGAAGTTTATCCTCTTGGCGCCCATGAAAAGTGGTTCCCTGGATTCCTCCAACTCTTCTTCTATGTTCAGTCCTCTCATCAGCATCTCCAGCAGGTTCTTGATCATGGCGTTGCACTGTTTCATGTACTCCATTGCTTCATGCCTAATAACCAAGAAGATAAAGTTGGACCAAAACCATGATCAGATGACTTAATGGGGTGAGTGACTATGCACTCTCTTTTCTTAAAATAGGTCAAAAGTTAGAATTCTTTATGGTAAGAAAAAAAATACTATGATTAGCACTTTGCCTCTTAATTGGATTGGCCAGGCCAGATAGTGTGACCAAAAAAACAAGATAAATTCTTATCTTGAGTGGATAGAAGTCAGCCTAATTTAAAATCAATAAGACTAATAGGTGGTTTCTATAAAAAGTTGGGCTTGAAACATATGATTACCAAGTTAAGGATTTCCAGCAAGATAGAACAAGAAAATAAAGTAAATCGAACTAAAATCGTAATCAACAAATCTTTGATTTCTGTCTACCAAAAAGTGTAAATTAAAATTTAGCACATGGATTATGGTTAAGTCAAAACCAGGAAATATCACCATAACTGACTTAGGAATACACTGCTGCGTTTAGACCTACTGATGATCCAAGTCAACCACCATCTATCATCAATCATAATTATAACCAACAAAAGAGAAGTAAAAGTAAGGACAGTCAAATAAAGACAGTACATCCTCAGTGAGTTTCAACCTAATCAATCTTTCTCTTGCATGTTTTTCTCCCTGTCTCCACTATATATTCCCCGATCCTTCCATCAATTCATAAGTAACAAATCAATAAAAAGTACCCTAAGTATGAAAATCAATCTAAGTTAATCGACTCAAATCAAGAAAACAATTATTGTCACTCAAAGTTGAAATATGCAATATTATAGTTACCCGCTTAACTTTTCAACCAACTTGATTAAATTACTCATGATGAAGAAAATCTTCAATTCATGCATGAATTTATGGAGTATATATATTAAAATTTGAGTTAATTTCATTTTTTTATCCTAAATTTATAGGTCATAATTTACTTTTAGTCCTTCTTTTCGAGAACACCCACTTTCAATCTTAATAGTATTGTGATATAATCATTTTTGGTCCACTATCAACAAAACAGTTTAAATGTCCTTAAATACAAGAATATTTTGATCTTCATTTATGTATGTTTTCAAAGAAAAAATAAACATAAAAATATAGCGGGTCAATCTACTTTGTATAAAATAGATCAAAATGTTCTTGTATTTAATAATATTTCAACGATTTTGTTGATTAAGAATAAAAAATTATCATTTCATAATAATACTATGACTAAAAGTGAATGTTTTGATAAAAAAGAACGAAAAAGAAAACTGAAAGTGAACAGTTCAATTGGTTAATGGTTAAAGTTTGGTAAGAAAGAAGAAGACAAAAAATTAACTTTTAAAATATAGAATTGATTTGGATAGAGAAAGACCTGCAAGCTGGGGGCCACAAAGCCGCAGCTTCATCGTCGGAAACGTAGAAGAGACTAAGATAATCTTTCCACTCCAAAGTCTTCTCAGACTCCGGGCTGAAGCTGGTGCCGTACCGGACATTCTCCGACGGCGAGTTCGCCTTGGAGTACTTCCTCTTCTCCTCCACCGGCAGCTTGAAGAACCGGTAAGTGGCGGTCTTGAGGCTCTCCAGCAGCTCCACCGGCACGCCATGGTTGATTATCTGGAAGAAGCCCCACTCCTCCGCCGCCTCGCAGACGGCCCGGGACACCGCCGGGTCGTCCCAGTTGGAAATGTCGATGGTCGGAATGGAGTAGTCGGCGACTATGGCGTTCGCCGCAATGCGTTCTTCGGGCGACTGGATGTACTGGCTTGGCAGCGCCTTGATGCCCATGTCCGACAAACCCTTCACTCCTCGGCCCTCGTTCACGACGAAATCCACGACGGATTCTGATTCTGACAGGGCTGCCGGAGCCATGGTTTTACGAGGTTAATTTTAAGAAAAGGTGATCGGCCGACAATTATAAGGGAGATCAGTTATGAGTTATTTGGTTGTTTGTTAATTGTTTCTATTGTTTTACTGCCATATTTATAGATTAGTTTGGATTCTCGAATACCATATTACTCATTACTCAATATAGATAAATATAAGTACTCAATAGAAATATTATAATTATAAAATTATAAAATATTACTAATTAATAGGTTTTAATTAATTTTCATTATATATTTGCTTACCAAATAAGATTGATTAATTATTTGACAAATAAAATACTTAATTAATCGGGTAAAAATATTTGGACAGAAAAATAAAGTAGGAGGATTATTATTATTATTATTATTATATATATATATAGAGAGAGAGAGAGAGTGTAAGATTCCCGTGCGGTTGATTAATATTCGTGAGGTTTGTACTCAATGTGCGTGAGTATTGTGCTTAACGTGCCTGAGATTTGTACTTAATGTGCGTGGGTGTGTAATGTTAATGTGCGTGAGTTTTGTGCTTAAGGTTTGTGAGTCTTGTGCCTAAGATGCGTGAGCTGAGTGCTTAATGTGCGTGAGTGTGTTATTCATCCACTGCTGTAAAAAATTATGTGCATCCACTGCTGCATTTTCTTCTTGTTTTTTCGTTTCATACTGGTGGAGGAATGGATTTTGTCTTGTTTTTAACATAAAATCAGAACAACCATATTTGCGTTTACATATATCCATCCATTCACACACAATCAGAAAAGCTTCACATACCTTCTCTTTCTGTTCTGCTTCCTTCTAAGCTCGTAATTCTGAACTCAAGTCACGCACATTAAGCACAAACTTCAAGCACATTAACATTACACACTCACGCACATTAAGTACAAATCTCAGGCACATTAACATTACACACTCACGCACATTAAGTATATAACTCACGCACATTAATCTACCGCACGAGAAGCCATATATATATATATATATATATATATATATATATATATATATATATATATATATATATATATATATATATATATATATATTATTAAGGTAATAACATCACGTTGAATATTTGTTGGAGACTAAAATGGAATAACCATATGAGGATTGTCAGAATACCATATTACTCATTACTCAATATAAATAAATATAGGTACTCAACAGAAATACCATAATTATACAATATTACTAATTAATAGGTTTTAATTAATTTCCATTATATATTTGCTTACCAAATAAAATTTAGAAATAAAGGTCAAATAGGCCATCGAACTACACATCAAATTTCAATTAGGCCATCCAACTCAAAAAAGCAACAAACAGGTCCCTGAACGTTACAAATTCAAGCAATTGAACCTAAAGTGACTTGCTGAACAGGTAAATAGATGACGTGGCGGTTATTAAATTATTTTTATTTTAAAAACTTATTTTAATAATTCTTAAATAATAAAAGTTTTGAAAACAAAACAAACAAAAAAACCAAAAAAAAAAAAAGGGAAAACGTCGAAAATTTACATCAAACAAAAAAAATTCGTCGTTCTCCTACAGTTTGCCGTTAACAATGGAGCTTCCTTTTCCGGTGATGGAGACGGATCAACGGCAACGAAGGCACGCCGCTATGGACCGTCGTGTTCTGCAAATCGTCAGCCGGATGGTTCGACGCGGCTGAGTGCGGGCAGATGGCGGCGGTGTTGGCGTTGGCGTTAGTCGAGGCGGAGCTGGGTTTATTTTTCCCGGTTACGACTCTTCTGCTGTCTTCCTTCTCAGACGACGCCGGCAACCATTCTCGGCTATTCGTCGCTGCTCCGCTGGATTAGGCCGGTGGCGATGTCGGCGGTGAAAATGAGGGTGATGCTGACTGCTGAGATCAAGATTGCAGTAACATATAAGAGACAGCCGAAGAAGAAGGGGAGTGGGTCGCCGGTGGTTTTTCCTTTCCTTTTTTTTTTTTTTTTTTTTTTTTTTAGTTTTTTTATTTAAAAATTATTAAAATAAATTTTTAAAATAAAAATTAATTTGATAACTGCCATGTCATCTAATTATTGGGTCAACAGGTCACTTTAGATTGAATTGATTGAATTTGCGCCGTTGAGGGACCTAATTGTAGCTTTTTTGAGTCGGATGGCCTAATTGCAATTTAGTTTGTAGTTCGATGGCCTATTTGACCCTTATTCCTAAAATTTATTAATTATTTGACAATTAAAATATTTAATTAATTGGGTAAAAAAGTTTAGGCAGGAAAATGAATTAGGAGGATTTTTCTTTTATATATATACTAGTATTTTCACCCGTCCGATGCACGGAATGGATTTGTTGTAATATATTGAGAATATTTAGATTGATATATAATTATTTAAATTAGAACATCAAATATTATATAGTGCGATTGAAGATGTGCTTTGAATCATTTATGTGTTTTGATTTTATCATTGCTTGAATTTGAGAAAATAATTGCTCAAATTAATACCTAGTGTGTAGATGTACGCATGCAGTGCTGTAACTTTGGAGATTTTATTTATCATTGTTTAGTATTTTTTTTTTTTTAAATTAGGCAAACGTGCTCGTTATAGGAATGAATTGCTATCTTAATTCATTTGTATGGAATGATAGTAGCAACACAATCTTGTCTATCATCGTCTAGAGCTAACACCTTCAGTCCATCAGGAGGATGACTCGAGTGAAAATATATAATGGTAGAATATAAGTCAATTAGCGATCCTTTTATAATTTAAGTCAACTAGTAATATTAAATTCATTTTCAACCAATTATTCTTTTTTTTTTTTAGTAAATTAGTCAATTAGAATATCATATCCAATGATATTTTTACCTAATTTTCGTTTCATTTGTAATTGATGATGTATAATATTAGTATTGAAATATTTCCGTTTCATTTTTAATTTACCTGTACTATTGTTTTAAATATGCATTTACTATTTATAATATAGAATATTATTCTTGAAATATTTATGTCCAATAATTTTAGTTTCTGTTTCATTTTTAATTAAAATGCAATGATCTAACCATTTATTTTTTTCATAGTAGTCAATTATAGATCATTTTATATTTGCAGTCTACCACTAATATTTATTTCCTTTTATATTTTCAGTGTATTAGCAATAGGGAAAATGGCACTTTTTCCCCCTGGGTTATATACCTATAGCATTTTTTCCCCCTAAATTATTGAAGTGGCTGTTTTACCCCCTGAAATGTTAAATTGACATATTTACCATTAAACTAAATATTTAATTTATTTTTTTCTCCAACAAATTATGACCATAATTTTGTTCAAACTAAACAAACACTATAGCAACCAAATCGAAATATTCCAATTACAATTTAGAATCGAAATTCGATATTTAGAGTTTATTAAAATCGTGAACCGGAACGGACGGTTCATGTTCCGAACTGAAAAAATAAAATACATTTATTGTTGAATTTAGACTATTTTAATTTTAAAATAAAGACGATTCAAAACCGCGAATCAGATCCATAACCGCCGGTTCACGGTTCAAGATTCAATTTTTTTGATACATAATTTTAATAAATTGACATTTAAATATTGGGTTCTAGATCTGAATTATAACCGTAAACTATTAATTCGATTGCTTTAGTATCCGGTTCAATTCAAATCAAACCGTGGTCATCCCTACGTATACGCAATAATTTGTTGGAGTAGTAAAATAAATAAAATGTTTACTTTAAGGGTATAAATGTCCATTTAATATATCAGGGGGAAAAAGCACCACTTTTAGAATAATTGAGGGGATTAATGTGCTTACCTAAATAATTGAGGGGGAAAAAGTGCTATAAGTATATAACTCAGGGGTAAAAAGTGCCATTTTCCCTTAGCAATATTACCACTAATATTTATTTTCAACCAATTATTTTTTTAAATAATTTATATTACCATAATTAATTATCAATTATTACCACAAATGAGTCAATTCAAAATATGTCATCATAAAAAGGTATTTCCATAATCAATTAACTCATTTTCAGCAATTATTTGGTTTTACTCATTTTCATATATTCCGTGTAATATTAATTATTTGTTGGTTTTATATAAATTACATAATTACATAATACCATATAAGGAATACACGTTAATTAAAAAAAGGTAAATGTTAATACCTAATTCATTAATTAGTCTATATTCATAATATTCTGTGTAATATAATGATAATTAATTTTTGGTTATATATATATATATATATATATATATATATATATATATATATATATATATATATATATATATATTACAAAATACCAAATAAGGAATACACGTTAATTCAAAAAGGTAAATTTTAATACCTAATTTATTAATTAATCTATATTCATAATACCATATAAAGAATACACGTTAATTCAAAAAAGGTAAATTTTAATACCTAATTCATTTATTAGCGGCGAAGGTCTCCGGTGGTGCAGTAGAAGATCCAAAGAGGGCAAATTATGCTGTGCATCCATATGCACCATGCATGGTGCATACGGATGCAAAAACGACGTCGTTTTAATAAAACGCGCATCTCCCCTTAAAAAAAAAAAAATCAGGTTCGATTCCCAGCAACAACATATGAACTAAAATTTCATAATCGATGAACTATAATTCCATAATCGATGAACTATAATTCCATAATCTAATCTATGAACTAAAAATTCCAGAATGAATGAACTAAAATTCCATAATCTATAAACTAAAATTTCAGAATCGATGAACTACAATTCCATAATCGATGAACTATAATTCCATAATCAATGATCTATAATTCCATAATCTATGAACTAAAATTCCAGAATGAATGAACAATATAATGTTGTTGCTAGGAATCGAACCTGAATTTTTTTTTTAAAGGGGAGACGCGCGTTTTTTAATAAAACGACGTCGTTTTGGCATCCGTATGCACCATGCATGGTGCATACGGATGCACAGCATAACTATCCTCCAAAGAGGCTCAGCAACTCCTCTTGGCATGTAGCGGCGTTCTGACAAGGTCGAGGTCTTCACCGGTAATTTTCGGTTCCGGCTGGCAGCTGGCAATCAATTAGAGGCCCGGTTGAGTTAATCAATTA